GCCCTCCCTTCCCCTCGTCTCCGGTCTCCAGCCCTCGCCCCTCGGTCTCCGCCCGTCTCCGTCCCTCCGTCCCTGCCTCCCAGCTCGCTCGCACGTCAACCGCCCCTCCCCGCTCCGAACCCAAACCCAACCTCAGGCCCCGCGCCTCTCTCTCGAAAGCTGGGAGTCGCTTGCTCGCTCAGAGTGGCAGCTGCGCTGGTCCGCAGCGCAACTCACCACAACCCCAGCCCGGAGCCTGAGCCCGAACCCGAAGATCCGCGGCATTGCCCCCCCCCCCAGGTCGCCGAGCTGGAGTATGCAGGTCGAGGGCTCATTATTATTACAATTATTATTATATTAAGCCGAGCTGGAGCATGCAGACAACTCCACCCCTTCCCCTCACCCTGACCCTAGCCCTAGCCCTAGCCCTAACATGCAGGTGGCGGTCGAGGGCTCGTACTACGTCTCCTTTCGGCTGCTGCTCAAGATCGACTCGGTCCGCACGCTCCCCGCCGCCTCTGGACACGCCTCCCACACGTCCGCATGTCTAACCCTAACCCTAACCCTGAACCACAGGTCCGCATGTCGGGCGCCCTCGTCGTCAACGCCGCAAACGACTTGCGACAGATCGGCGACCTCTCCGCCGAGGGTTGCATCGCGAGGCACGGACCTCGCCCGACCGCGGCCCCTCTCCCTCCTCCGCAGGTCTCTCCTTCGCCGAGCTGCCTGCGCTCAAGATGAGAGTCGAGTGCACCGTCTCGTGGGGCACGCTGCCGCTGCCGCTGCAGGACAAACACTCAGCCGATAGCTGGCCACGAGCGACCCTCACACGATGATGTCGCCGCCCTCTGAACTAGTGGTCCGAATCGTCCGCCAGCGACGACTCATCGGTCACCCTGCCGCACGCAGGACTACATTGGCGAGACCGTCGTCAACGAGTTTCGCGCCTGGCTGACACGAGCGATGGCGCGGCGCCGCCTCGCCGGCCAGAGCCGGTGTGGCCAAGCCCCTCTCACCCGGTGTCGCCTCCCCGCCCCGCGGTGTCGCCAGGTCCAGCCCAACGAGCTCGTCATCAAGCCCGCCGCCTTCCAGCCAAAGCAGACCCTCACCGACGCAGACGTCGAGCGCGCGATGTGAGAGCGCGAGGCGAGCCAGGCGCCCCCTCTCTCAACGCGGCGTCAGAGCGCGGGGCGTGCCGAATGTAGGCGCGCCGCGTCGATGGCGAGGGAGCTCTCTGAGGTGCAAAACGAGACGTTGCTGTGATGCTGGACGCCCAGCCGCGGGCTACCGTGTGTGTCGCGCCGTCGCCGCTCGAACGATTGCCGGGCGCGCTGACGAGACACCGATGTGTGGCCGTGCCGCTTGACAACATGTACATCATGTGCGCGCGGTCGGTCGGTTGTGCCGGCGGCCCCGCTTATGCGGCCGTTCGGTGGTTGTGGCAGCGGCTTTCTGCAGCGTGCTTGGGGGGCATTGCGTCTTGTGTGGCGCCGCCAGGGTGGCGCCGCTGTGCCGCGGGATTCTTACCCGCGGCGCGTCGCGCCGACGTCTTTTCGTGAAGTATGTGATGTTAAACGCTAATGACGGCGTAAAAGGCGCGCGGGGGGGTGTCTTAGAGCTGTCTTGGTGCGCACGCAAGACGAGTCGAGACGCGCCCGCGCCGCGGGCTGCCGACGGCGACGCTCGCGCGCAGGGAGGCTCGCGCGTGACCTACACGCTAGAGCCGCAGTCGCTACTCTACCAGAAGGTTCACGTCTAACGCGACGATCGAAAGAAGAGAGTCGTGATTTCTGGTTGGTTTTCAAAAATCTCTCTCTCTCGATCGAACTCTGCTCTCTGGTCTCCGCTCTGGGCCGATGCCACCTCGCGTTTGTCCTAGTTCTTACTGTCGCTCGTTTTGACATGACATGACAGAGAGTGTCCCTTGTAATGCGAGAGAGTGCGGTTCGTCCTATCCGCTTTCTCTCTCCTGCAGCCCCGCCCGTGCCCCGCGAATTCTTGTCCAGCAAGACCTGCTCTGGATCGCCGTCCACCAGTGTGTCTCGACGCCGAACCCGAATGCGCCTCCTCCTGCAGTTCAAGGGCAAGACGACCGAGGTGCACGCCGACAGTGCCGACACGGTCATTGCCGCCGCGCACGACGCTCTCGCGCTGCCGTCTGACGAGTGGCGTCTCAAGATCGTCGCGAAAGGGAAGCAGCTCCAGCCGGGAGCTTCCTTGCCCGCGCTGGCCGAGGGCGCCAAGCTCATGGTGATGGCATCGTCCATCACCGCCGTTGAGCGCGGGCTGACCTCGCGATCAGACCCGACGGTGCGTGGTTTTGCAGCCGAGGACGAGGCGGCTTCGCGGCGTGCAGCCGACACGGCGGGTGGCGCAGACGAGGTGAGCGTGTGGTGCACCTCGCAGGATGCAGAGCACAAGTTCTGCCGATTCGAGCCGTGCACGTGGCAGAGCTTCGGCACTCGCCCCTCGTCGACCACCCCGCACGCCTTCGAGGCGCGCAAGCTGCTGCTGCGGCTGGCTACCGACCCGGCGGTGGTGGGCATCATGCGGGAGCGTCGGTATCGGGTCGGGACGCTCGCCGAGATGGACCCGATCGACGACCGGCTCGCCGAGAAGATGGAGGGCGGCGGCAAGCGGCTGCTCGGCTACAACACCAACCACGGGATGTCCATCCACGTGCGGCTCCGGACGATGGACTTGCGCGGCTTCGAGGCGTACCCGTCCCTGGTGGACACGCTGCTGCACGAGCTGGCGCACAACGAGGTCGGGCCGCACAACGACCTCTTCTGGCACCTCTTTGCCCAGCTCAAGGCCGACTACCTCCGCCACCACGCGCGCCTTGCGCAGAGCGGTGCGCTCTTCAGCGGCGCGTCGCCGCTGCAGCTCGCCGGCGTCGCCGAGCAGGCCCTCCTGCCCGAGGCAGCCGGCTCCTCCGCACCGGGGTCGCTCACGCGGCGGCCTGCGCCTGCAGGTGTCTGACGTGCGCGCCGCAGTCTTGGGCACCGTCGCTCGCGACCGCATGGCGCCGCTCCCTCCGGCGCAGGAGGCGCTGCTCGACGGCTACTTCTCCCTCACCGAGCGGCGCGGCGGGAACGCTGTGGGCGGGGCGGAGCGGCAGGGCGACAGCGGCGAGGGTGCGTCGCACGCTAGCGCGAGAGCCTTGGCGGCAGAGCGCGCGGAGGCGCGCCGTCTTCAGCAGCAGCAGCAGCAGCAGCAGCAGCACGGCGAGCGGGATGGCGGCGGTCGTGACCACTTGTGAGGAGGGGCGGTCGTGACCAGCGAGACGATCATATCGTATCGAAATGTACCAGTGGCACCGGCGCTCTGGCGGCCTTCCGCCCACAAACGCCGATTTGACCGAAGAGCGCCGCTAGTTCCGAAGACCAGTCTATTTGTCGAACCGGAAAAAAAAACGACGCGCACACCGCACAAGGCACATTCGCATATCGCAATGGCACGCGGCTCACCGACGCAAGCGCGCGGGGCTGCATCCACCATCCTGATTCCTGTCGTCCGTTTTGGGTTTCGTGAAAAAACTGATAAAGCATAAACGTGTGGTATACTGGTAAAACATAATGGGGGGAGATTCGAAGGCTTCTGGAGCGACTACCGGCACATCGCTGCGGGCGAGGCTGCCCGCGAGCCGCGACCCCATGAGGGAGGGGCGTTCGCCCCTCGCCGGTCCCCTCAGCTCATCTTTGCGTCGAAGACCATGTCCTTCGGGTCCTGCAGCCCGCGCGCCTTGTAGCCGTCCATCGCTCGCACCTTCATCGGGGCGGCGCGCGGGCGGAACTTCGGCTTGTCGCGCGAGGAGATGGAGTCGTAGCGCGAGTCGACGCCGAAGGGGCGCGGCAGCAGCCAGTGCAGCCCGATGTCGACCGGCGTCTTGAAGCCGTCGAGCGGCAGGTAGAGGCCCTCCACCCCCCACACCTCACCTTGCCGACGACGGCCGGGTGCGGCTCGGGGGCGGCGGCGGGGCGGCGGCGGGCACGTGCGCGGCGGCGGCGCCTGCGCTTTCGCCGCCTCCGCCATCGAGGTGACGACGGCTTGCTTCTCGAAGGAGTAGGAGAGGGGCAGGGTCGGCGGGAGGGCCGCCTTTGCGTCCGCCTCGAACTTGGTTGCCGCCTCCTTGACCATGGTGCGCAGCTCGGCCTCCACCTGCGTGGGTGGGGCGGCGGGGCTGGGCGGGGCGGGCAAGGGAGGGAGGGAGGCGGCGGCGGCGAGGGGAGGGGAGGTTGTGCAAGGCGCCTTCAGCGACGGCTTGAGCGCAGCGAGCTTCTGCATGAACCGCTCCCGCGACTGCACCTGCAGCAGCTTGAGCTGTCGCCGACAAGTGGGCGTCGCGGCGCGGGTGATCTGCGAGAGCAGCGCGCTGCGGGCGGTCGCCACGGTCGGCGAGCCGCCGAGCTGCGCCGCGTCGGCCGAGTACTTTGCGATCGAGTCGTCGATCAGCGAGCCGAGCCGCTCCCCAAAGTCGGGCAGCGCAGTCGCCTGGCGGGGAGGGCGGTCAGTCGGAAGCGAAGGGGCGGGGGGAGGGCCCGCCGGACCCATCGCGGGGGCGGCGGGGTGCGGGCGAAGGCGTGGGGGCCGCGGCGCGCCTCCGACGCCTTTTGCAGCGCCTTGAGGCCCTTTGAGAAGTGCTTTGCTGCCCGCTCCGCAATGGCGGAGGAGCGGTGCGCCGTCTGCACCTCGCCCCAGCGCGCGGTGG